GATATATAATCTCTACTGCTTTCCCCCATTCAGTTCAGTAACCCTGTATGACAGGGTCAGGCCAGACGGCTACAGGAGAGTAATAGAAAGCAGATATATTAGCCCCAGGCTAAGTAGGTCCCTTTTTCCTGGGTAAGGTAACAGGGAAGGTTCCAGAACAATCAGGAACCTTCTGGAGACAATTAAGACAGGCTGATTAGAACACCTGCAGCCAATCAAGAAGCTGCTAGAATCAATTAAGGCAGGCTGATCAGGGCACCTGGGTTTTAAAAAGGAGCTCGCTTCAGTTTGTGGTGTGCGTGTGAGGAGCTGGGAGCAAGAGGCACTAGGAGCTGAGAGTGAGAACGTAGACTCTTGGAGGACTGAGGTGTACAAACGTTATGAGACACCAGGAGGAAGGTCCTATGGTGAGGATAAAGAAGGTGTTGGGAGGAGGCCCTGGGGAAGTAGCCCAGGGAGTTGTAGCTGTCACACAGCTGTTCCAGGAGGCACTCTAGACAGCTGCAGTCCACAGGGCCCTGGGCTGGAACCCGGAGTAGAGGGCGGGCCCGGGTTCCCCCCATATCCTCACAACTTCTGGTCAGACACAGGAGGAGTCGACCTGGACTGTGAATTCAGAAAAAACGGCCAAGCTGAGGGCTGCTGTGATGCTCCAAGGAGAGCAAATCTGCCAATAAGCGTAAGACCCACCAAGGTAGAGCAGGAACTTTGTCACACCTGTCAAAGAAGGAAATTAGGTTGGTTTGGCATGATTTTTCTTGAAAAATCTATGGTGGCTATCGTTTATCACCATGTTATGCTTTAGGTGCTTACAAATTGGTTAATACTTTGTTCCAGTATTTTTCCAGGTATCAAAGTGAGGCTGACTGATCTATAATTCCCCAGGTCCTCTTTGTTCCTCTTTTTAAAGGCAGGTACTATGTTTATCTTTCTTCAGCCTTCTGGGACCTTCCCTGTCACCATGATTTTTTGAAGATAATCACTAATGGTTCTGAGATATCTTCAGCTAATTCTTTTAAGTACCATAGGTTGAATTTCATCAGGCTCTTGCTCCTTGAATACATGCAAATTATCTAAATATTCTTTAACCTGTTCTTTCCCTATTCTGTCTTATATTCCTTCCACTTTGTTGTTAATATAAATTGTGTAAGCATCTAGTCACAACTGACTTTTTAAATGAAGATTGAGGCAAAGTAAGCATTAAACACTTTAGCCTTGGTGTTGATCCATAATTAGCAATCCTTCCCCACTAAATAGTGAACCTTTCTCTTGTTCTAAATGTATTTAAAGAACCTCTTCTTTATTGCCTTTTATATCTCTAATTAGATGTAACTCATTTATGTGCCTTAGCCCTTCTGATTTTGTCCCTAACTGCTTGTGCTATTATTTTGTACTTATCCTTAGCAATTTGTCTGTTTCCACTTTTTGTAGGATTCCTTTATTATTTTTGTCATTATGCGTGGAGATTGGCATTATGTTGGCTGTGAATGTGACTGATGGTTTACTTCTTTTTTTAGTGTTTGCAATTATGTGAAAAGATGCATTAGAGCAACCTTTAATCTAAATTACCAATGTTATTTCTGTGACATTATTATATTCTAAATATTAAATGTGGATAATTTTATAGCTAGCTTACTCACTTTCCCCTCTAGCACTGTTCTAGGAGTTAGCTAGTGCTAAAAAAATGGTACTTCACCTTTTCAATACTGAGAAGCCCTCCCTCCTAAATGTGATGAGATCTTGCAAGGTGTCCCCCTTCCCATTTGGGCATATGAGAAGGGCAAGGTGGTCATGAACCCAGATTTTGAGAATGTCTGCTCTAATATATATTATATATAAACAACACCACAAAAAGACTTCATTAACTTAGAATTAAATGAAATGCATTTCCTCACAATAATACAGATAGTAAAATGAGGGTTGGGAGCTGGGTTTGGGGTTCTCACAATTCAAATGTGAATGACATGTAAAAAATCTGCCCTGTTTTATGGATAGGATCATGTTAGTAGAAATAGTAGCCATTGTTAGTCCCTTAAACACATAATCTCTTTACCTCTAGATTCTGGGGATCAGCAGTGTGGATCAAATGAGCATATAACTCACTGTGAAGAGTACTTTTTGTAATGATATGTTAAATATGGAAAGAGATTAGACGTGTCTTTAGTGCAAAATTAATTAATAGTTCAAAAGGGAAAAGCTTAAGTCAACTAAGGACCCAGCTGGACCTGGCTTGGGCAGTCCTTGTTTGGCATCAGAGAAGGTTGTGACAACAACCTATCATTTCTAAAGTCAATGTTTTTGTTTAAAGAAAGTTGCATGAAATCAAGAGTTTTCTTTACATGCTGAATGACTAATCTGTACAGCACTACATGCAAGGAAACGACATTTTTTGTAATTATTTCAAGGGCTGCTTTAATAATAAAATCACCAGGTTTAGCTTCAGTAAAGTATTTTTTTTTCTCTGAAGAGTCCATGTCATCTTAACTGGAAATCAAGCAATTAATTATTGGCAGATATTTTTTGTTGAAAACATAGGGCATGATGCTTTTAAACAAAAACATTCAGATCTGAAGACTTTTGTACTGTAACTGCTCAGGTTTTTGGCATTCTTTCCCTTAGTACATTGTTCTTACATTTCATCAGAGTTAAATCAGTTGCCCTTTTAAAAATTGTATAACTATGTTTCTCTAAATTTGAAAAGTTTAATAAACACGTATTGTTTGTTAGCTGTTGATGGTGCTACACTGATATATAGAAAGGCAAATGTCCCTGTGTCAACGAGCTTAAATTATATTGTAAACAGGTAATATAATTGTGGAATTAGTAAGCCAAAAACCAAGGGGAGAGGGTGAATTCACATTAATAAGAGTCCCTTTTTTATATTCAGCAATTTTTGGTAGAATTTAACTTACACTAGTGAAAAGTCAAGGTAGGGAGATTTTTATTGGAAATCTACAGAATGGTTCAGTAGTAATTTGAATAGCATGGAGACCTCTTGATTGCTTTTCCTTCATGTACAATGAAACAGGTCTTTTAACATATTTATTCATTTATTGGGTATTATTTAAGATTGCCTCCCTAATGTACAATGTAGCACTGCTATACTGTAGGTTAGTACAGTAGGTCATATATATTAGTAATAAAGTTGTTCATAGTTCATCTATTATAGCATAGTTTTCTATTTTATTCCTTAACCAATGTATTCCTTGTCACATGCTGGCTGGTCCATCAAGGGAAGTCAGGCTCAGCTTTGCCTGTGATGAAGCAGCTATCCTCCAGCTGGTCCTGATTCAGTAACTTAATTGAAGTTATTGGATACTGTGTGAACGGGTCAGGATATGGTATAAAAGAGGGAGAGCTCATCTGGGAAGGGGGAGACCTAGAACAGAAGAGGTTGGGAGTTTGTGTTCTCATGGAAGGGCCTGTTAGGAGTCAGGTGGAAGGAGAACTGAGGAGATCCATGGATGAGGGAGACCTGTGGTGAGCATCCATGTGGGGGAACTGGTTGGGAGGGGGCAGTGGGGAGCCCTGTAGGGGATGTTCTGCTTTAGCCATATGAAATGTTGAGAGGTATGGCTAGCCTGCTAAAAACAGTAATGCAGCTGTGGTAGCATAGGCAATGGTGAGTGGTGGCACAGGCTAGCTGCCCTGAGTACAAACATGCCTGGACCCCACGGATATGTACTTGGGGCAGCTAGTCCCTGCCACTGCCGCCTGTGCGACCATGGCTACGTTACGATTTTTAGCTCAGATGAAAGCTAACATACGTGTTTCTGTGAAGCTAGGAACCACATGCCTATCTCACAACAGACAAAGCCTTTAATTGACATGGCTGGAGGGCTGAGAGACAACAAGAAGCAAACCATTGCAGGGCTGCTAGATGAGGAAAGCCTGCTATGCCTCATGCAGCCATGACAGGACATGCTGGCCGGTGAAACACTCTTCTACACTCCATCTGAAATTCACGTACATGTGAAATGAGAAACTTTTTGTTTGCCAGGAACTAAGTTCAGGATTCTGTGTGTTTTTTCCCTCCTCCTGCAAAAGTTGATGATGATATACATTTACTATGTATTTTTAATTTAAATTTTATATGCTTTTTGTGTCTAGGGAAGAAATATTTTAAAGCACTTAAAACAGGGAAAGAGTCTATCAGCTTTAGTGCAATTTTTCTTTATTACTCCCCTGGGTACACTCCAGCATAAGGTCAAGAGGCTTCCTTAAGATCATATAATGAGAAGGCATTTCAGCTGAATTTAGAACCAGGAACTGCTCAGCTATAACCACTCGATCACAGTGGAGCAGAGTTGTGAATTCTTTCTAATTTGTATGTTTTTCTCCTAATCTACCTTGCCAGCACTAGATATTACACTGAGATGTAGGATATGATTAATTATTTTGTTGTTTAATTCTTCAAGTGTCTTTTGTTTGATGTTCTGTTTTTTTTTTCTTCATTTGATGAATACATAGCAGGGATAATATGATATCTTGTACTGGTATACACCTCCCTATACCATGTCTATGCTTGAAAGCTTTAGGGTGTTAAAGTATCCCTTCAGTGAAAGTAATTTACAGTATGATAGGTGCTACTCTTAAGGGTTTATAAACCCCAAACTGCAGTGACCTTATACATCTTTCTAATTATGTATTACGTAGTAAAAGCGTATTCATACCTAATAAAGTGGGATTGTACATAAAAATATTTTGAAACTATTTTATACTGACAAAAATAGATTTCATGTTACTAAACAGAATTGTTTATGTCGTGAATTCTCCAATTAAAGAATATTTTGTAGTCCTATTCAATTAAAATTACAACTGAACTCTAATTCAGTTAACAGGAAGGTTAACATGTACAATATTTTAAAAGTATTCCTCCTTTGAATATAATGAAAGGATGAATATCTTCAATGCTCAGAAAACAGAAATACTGCCTTAGAATCTGTTATGCATTTTAGTTATTTCAGATGAAGTCAAGAATATAATTTTATTTTCTGCAGGTTATTAACGCAGCTTTAGCTCTTGCTGCCAGACCAAAAAGCCAGGTGGTAAAAAACAGCATGGAAATATATAAGAGCACATGGGAGAATCGCATACATGTTCTTACTGAAGCTGTGGATGACATTACAAGCATTGACGATTTTCTTGCTGTATCAGGTATATTATTTTTCAGAATCTGATTTTTTTATTTTAACTTCCCTGTTCTTCATTTTAAAAAAATGGAATTAAGTATATTCTCACTTCCCTAGAATCCAACAGGAAACCAGTGGGAGATTAGTCTGAGTAAGGATTATAATTAATATTCTTAATAGCTAATGTAGTGCCCATCTTCAAAAAAGGGAAGAAGGAGGATCCTGGGAACTACAGGCCAGTCAGCCTCACCTCAGTCCCTGGAAAAATCATGGAGCAGGTCCTCAAGAAATCAATTCTGAAGCACTTAGAGGAGAGGAAAGTGATCAGGAAGAGTCAGCATGGATTCACCAAGGGCAAGTCATGCCCGACTAATCTAATTGCCTTCTATGACTAGATAACTGGCTCTGTGAGGGGAAAGCAGTGGATGTGTTGTTCCTTGACTTTAGCAAAGCTTTTGACACGGTCTCCCACAGTATTCTTGTCAGCAAGTTAAAGAAGTATGGGCTGGATGAATGGACTATAAGGTGGATAGAAAGTTGGCTAGATTGTCGGGCTCAACAGGTAGTGATCAATGGCTCCATGTCTAGTTGGCAGCCGGTATCAAGTGGAGTGCCCCAAGGGTCAGTCCTGGGGCCGGTTTTGTTCAATATCTTCATAAATGATCTGGAGGATGGTGGGGATTGCACCCTCAGCAAGCAAACTGGGAGGAGAGGTAGATACGCTGGAGGGTAGGGATAGGATACAGAGGGCCCTAGACAAATTGGAGGATTGGGCCAAAAGAAATCTGATGATGTTCAACAAGGACAAGTGCAGAGTCCTGCACTTAGGACGGAAGAATCCAATGCACCTCTACAGACTAGGGGCCGAATGGCTAGGCAGCAGTTCTGCAGAAAAGGACCTAGGGCTTACAGTGGACGAGAAGCTGGATATGAGTCAGCAGTGTGCCCTTGTTGCCAAGAAGGCCAATGGCATTTTGGTCTGTATAAGTAGGGGCATTGCCAGCAGATCGAGGGACATGATCGTTCCCCTCTATTCGACATTGGTGAGGCCTCATCTGGAGTACTGTGTCCAGTTTTGGGCCCCACACTACAAGAAGGATGTGGAAAAACTGGAAAGAGTCCAGCGGAGGGCAACCAAAATGATTAGGGGACTGGAACACATGACTTGTGAGGAGAGGCTGAGGGAACTGGGATTGTTTAGTCTGTGGAAGAGAAGAATGAGGGGGGATATGATAGCTGCTTTCAACTACCTGAAAGGGGGTTCCAAAGAGGATGGATCTAGACTGTTCTCAGTGGTAGCAGATGACAGAACGAGGAGTAATGGTCTCAAGTTGCAGTGGGGGAGGTTTAGGTTGGATATTAGGAAAACTTTTTTCACTAGGAGGGTGGTGAAACACTGGAATGCGTTACCTAGGGAGGTGGTGGAATCTCCTTCCTTAGAAGTTTTTAAGGTCAGGGTTGACAAAGCCCTGGCTGGGATGATTTAGTTGGGGATTGGTCCTGCTTTGAACAGGGGGTTTGTCAAGGTTCCTCCCCCACTCTGAACTGTAAGGTACAGATGTGGGGACCTGCATGAAAACCTCCTAAGCCTACTTTTACCAGCTTAGGTTAAAACTTCCCCAAGGTACAAATTAATTTTATCCTTTGTCCTTGGAATATCCACTGCCACCATCAAACTCTAACTGGGTTTACTGGGAAACGTAGTTTGGACACGTCTTTCCCCCCAAAATCCTCCCAACCCTTGCACCCCCCTTTCCTGGGAAATGTTGGATAAAAAGCCTCACCAATTTGCATAGGTGACCACAGACCCAAACCCTTGGATCTGAGAACAATGAAAAAGCATTCAGTTTTCTTACAAGAAGACTTTTAATAAAAATAGAAGTAAATAGAAATAAAGAAATCCCCCCTGTAAAATCTGGATGGTAGATACCTTACAGGGTAATTAGATTCAAAACATAGAGAATCCTTCTAGGCAAAACCTTAAGTTACAAAAAAGACACACAGACAGAAATAGTCATTCTATTCAGCACAATTCTTTTCTCAGCCATTTAAAGAAATCATAATCTAACACATACCTAGCTAGATTACTTACTAAAAGTTCTAAGACTCCATTCCTGGTCTATCCCTGGCAAAAGCAGCATACCGACAGACAGAGACCCTTTGTTTCTCTCCCTCCTCCCAGCTTTTGAAAGTGTCTTGTCTCCTCATTGGTCATTTTGGTCAGGTGCCAGCGAGGTTACCTTTAGCTTCTTAACCCTTTACAGGTGAGAGGATTTTTCCTCTGGCCATGAGGGATTTTAAAGGGGTTTACCCTTCCCTTTATATTTATGACGGGGTTGGACTAGATGACCTCCTGAGGTCTCTTCCAACCCTGATATTCTATGATTCTATAGCCTTCATGTATTATGTCTCAACACAGCACCCTTCTTCTCATTCCATGCTTGGGCAAGATGCAATATGGCATTTGAAGTGTAATCTTCTAGGTTTTGTGACTATAAAGACATTTTCTTATTGGAATTCAGAAACATTTTCAGATAGGCTCAGGATGTCTTACGCGTTTTTAAAAACAAATTGCTGATTAGTGCACAGTCTGTTCTTAAATACAATTATTTTTGTGGGTGTTTAAAAAGCCAACGGAAAATGGATGTCCAAATACTTTACTCAGCTAACAAGCCCTTTCCTTGCCCTCACTAAAATAAATAAATAAATAAAAATGTAGTGTACCTCAGAAGGGTCTAAATGTAGTACTTACACAAAACCAAAGCCACAGCAAGGTATAAAGAATGTATATCGTAATGCCAGTGTACTCATGACCTAGAGCCAAATCCTTGTTTTGGCAACCAGTTTCTCAGTGAGGTGTGTTTAAGGAATTTGCCAGTCTTTTCGGGCATGCGCTTAGTCACTTGTTGGATTTTTGTATAAAACAAGTAGCCACAAGTTTCCAGTTGGTGATAAATTCTTTTAATTACAGCTGGGTAAATTTGAGCCTACCATCCTGATGTCAGATTTACAAAATACTATTAGGAAGATTTGATATACTGTGTTCATGCAAGTTAACTGGTTGTTCTCATTACTTAAATAAAAATTACCAGGCCTAAGCGTTTCCTTTATAGAGAACTGTATTGGTTCATGTTATCAATTTGTCCAATAATTTCAATATAGAGCAATGTTTGAGTTACTTTATCTTACATGGGATGCCAAAAGCCCAGCTAAGTTGTTCTAGCAGCCAGGCACAGGGATTCTAGCACCCAGACAGTGTAGCCACAACCCCTATGCTAGGGGAGAAGGAAGTGGAAGAGCTATTCCTACATCTCTGTGTCACCGGAAAATTCCCTTTTGGAAAGAGAATTTTCCCATGGGTGTTTAGCCAGATTTGCTTTTTGCTTTGTGATGCCTGAGCACTGCTGGGTCTGATTTACCATTGCCATGTACCTTGTGTAATCATGCACACCAGAACAAGGTCAGTGCAAAGCTACCTGATGGGAGTGGAATTGTTTTGACCTCATTTGCACTGATGTAAATGACTACACAAGGTGTAAAGTAACAATGAATTGGGCCCCCAAATTTGAGTTCCCTTATCAAAATGTGTAAATTAGGCTGCAGACCTGTTTGGTCAAAGAAACAAATACAAAGAAAACAGCTACTAAAATAATATGCTTCCCCAGACTGTTTGTATAGCTTTTTCACTCTTTTTCACTCTTCACATTCATGCTAAGATATATTTCAAATGCTTCCTAAATGACTAGAGGTACTGTACTAGTTCCACATTTCCATTTTGTATCTCCAGTATAGAAATATCTGGTCATGAAAAATGTACTTTTAAAATAGTATTCACTAAAGACATATTCAATATTAATAAACTGTATTTATTGCATTAATAGGAGTATTCAGCATCTAAACAGAGGATACAAACTAGTTATCTCATTTCTGACATATTATGGGCCATATTCTTCCACCTCTGACACCTCTGCAGCTCCATTTAAGTCAACAGAGTTGCTAGAGCATAAAGGCATAATTTGACCCAGTATGTCTGAGCAAAATGTAACTATTTTCTTACTGTTAGTGCACATTGTGCCAAGCCTAAAACTATCTTGGTGAGTGCAGCCACAGTGCCCCATGCCAGTCATTGGGACCAATTTGGATCATGCAGCAGTGTAAAGCAGGAGGAGTTTCACTGTTGTCAATGGAATTACAGTAGTTTGAAATCATTGTAAGTGGTTATTTATTGAATGGGTAGATCCACTCTGTTATAAAGAGAATTAGCTTGGATAACCACTGCCTTAAAAAGGTTCCTAATCCCTTTGGGAACAACACATTCACTATAGAAATTGTAACCTGCTGGGAGTAGAATTCTCATGAGTAAACCGCACTCTTCTTGGCACTAGGACATTGATGGAGCCGACCTAATTTTGTGCTTGGAGACAGAAAGTTCCCCCCTCTCCTGGCAAAATAATTTTATTGAGAGAATTTTTACCTGTGTTGCTTCTCTTTGGGGATAGGGTGTTTTTTAAGGATGTCACCAGGGGCATTTCCCCACCAAGCAATAGTAAATTTGTAGGACAGTTCAGGAATGGTGCTCTATCTCCAGCTTTTGTAATCTTCACCTTGAAATCACCAGCAGCAGCAGTATCTGTTCACATTGCATTGCTATTGTGCCATGGAAGAGAATCATGGAGATGGCCCTATTTCAGAAATTCTATGACACTTCTACTTTACAAATACATTATTTTAAGTATTAGCTAATTTTTTAATCAACATAGCACTCTATTGGCACATAGTGGCTCATCGAGTGGCATTACGGAGTTTAATTTAGAAAAGGGATAAAATATGAATTGTCTTAAAGTTCTTGGGTCTGTAACATGAAGTTCCACATGCCTTGACAGTATCCTGTTTGAATAATTTTTTTATTAAAAATGATGTTGTATCGATCCTGACAGAAAAGATATTGCACTAGAGTTCAGAGGGTTTTTTTTAAATTTGGGATGCATTAGTTGATCTTGCACAGTATATTTCATGCAGTAAAAA